GCGGGCACGCCATGTTTTACAACCATCCACTGACCATGGGACTTGGACTTAGACGCTTAACGCGTGCCCTCCTCACGTGGGCACGTCAAGATTACCTATCCTGATCAGAGTTAGAAAACATCAAAAGTGACTAATACCCAAGTGAGAAACGACATAATTAAATAATTAAGCACTAAAACAACAAAATTAACAATTGGGTTGCCTCCCAAAAGCGCCTTTCTTTAACGTCTTTGGCTAGACGATGTCCACAACTTCGCTTAAACTAAGCAAGTAGGCAAGTGCATCATTTCCACCCGTTCAGTTGGAAAACCTTCATAATACGGCTTGAGACGGTGACCATTCACTACAAATTTCTTCTCAGTTTTCAAACTTTGGATCTCGACTGCACCATAATGAAAGACATTAGTCACAACAAAAGGGTCAATCCAACGAGAACGTAATTTACCTGAAAATAACTTCAATTTGGAGTGGTACAGTAGAACTTTTTGCCCACATTCGAACGTCTTCCTAGAGACCTGCTGGTCATGAAAAATCTTGTTTTTCTCCTTATAAATCACAGCATTCTCGTAGGCTTCATTGCGAATCTCCTCCAATTCTTGTAACTGTAGCTTCCTTTGAATTCCGCCCTCTTCGATATCCATGTTGCATTGCTTGACCGCCCAAAATGCTCTATGCTCGAACTCGACAGGGAGGTGGCATAGCTTCCCAAATACCAAACGGTAAGGGGACATGCCGATTGGCGTCTTGTACGCCGTTCTATATGCCCACAAGGTATCTTCAAATCTCACGCTCCAATCCTTCCTATCAGGTCGAACCATTTTCTCCAAAATTGACTTGATCTCCCGGTTCAATGCTTCCGCCTGACCGTTTGTCTGAGAATGGTAGGAAGTGGAGACCTTATGCAAGACACCATACCTCCTGAAAAGCGCAGCAATCGTCTTGTTGCAGAAATGGGTACCCCGATCACTTACAATTGCTCGCGGCATCCCAAAGCGAACAAAGATATTAGACTTGATGAATTCTGCAACTATTTTGGAATCATTAGTACGGGTGGCTTTTGCTTCCACCCATTTTGAGACATAATCCACGGCAAGCAATATATACAAAAAACCAAAAGATGAAGGAAAAGGGCCCATAAAGTCAATACCCCAAACGTCAAAAATCTCGACAAAAATCATTGGGGTTTGGGTCATTTGATCTCTACGAGAAATATTACCTACTCGTTGACACTTATCACATGACTTACAAAATAAGTAGGCATCCTTAAAGAGGGTCGGCCAATAAAATCTATTCTCTAGAACCTTACGAGCAGTCCTCTTTGGTCCAAAGTGACCTCCACATGCAAAAGAGTGACAATAAGCTAAAATAGATTGGAATTCATTTTCACTTACACATCTACGAATGATTTGGTCAGCACCACGTTTCCAGAGGTAAGGGTCATCCCAGATGTAAGACTTTGCGTCACTCCTCAATTTGTCCCTTTTTGCCTTAGGCCATCCTGCAGGAAACTTGTCAGTAACTAGAAAATTAACCATATCCGCATACCAAGGCAAAGACAAATTAATAGAAAATAAATGCTCATCGGGAAAAGTTTCTCTCAATGGGATATCATCTTCTACGACTTACACTCGACTTAAATGATCTGCTACCAGATTTTCAGCCCCTTTCTTATCCCTGATCTCCAAGTCGAACTCTTGGAGCAGTAGTATCCACCTTATCAGTCGTGGTTTTGCCTCTTTTTTGGTCAACAGATACCTCAGGGCTGCATGATCAGATAAAATAATAACTTTAGCACCAAGTAAATAGGACCGAAATTTCTCTAAAGCAAAAATTACAGCTAAAAACTCCTTTTCGGTGGTCGAATAGTTCAACTGAGCCCCGTTCAAGGCTCGAGAGGCGTAGTATATAGCATGAGCTGCCTTCCCCACTCTTTGACCTAGCACCGCGCCCACGGCATAGTCGCTGGCATCGCACATGATCTCGAACGATAGGTTCCAATCGGGGGGTTGGATAATAGGTGAGGAGGTCAGTAACTCCTTCAACCTATCAAACGCCCCCTTACATGACTCATCGAACTCGAAAGGTACCTCTTTCTGCAAAAGTTGGAATAGGGGCGATCCAATCTTGGAGAAGTCCTTTATGAATCTCCTGTAGAAACCTGCGTGACCCAAAAACGAACGCACTTCCCGCACACTCGCAGGGTAAGGTAAAGTCGATATCACATCTATTTTTGCCTTATCAATCTCAATACCCCTAAACGACACCACATGACCCAAAACTATCCCGTGCTCGACCATAAAATAACATTTTTCTCAATTGAGCACGAGATTAGCTTCTATGCACCTTATTAAAATTAATTTTAGGTTATCTAGACAGTTATCAAAACTTTCCCCATACACACTGAAATCATCCATAAAAACCTCAATAATCTTCTCAACATATTCTGAAAAAATACTGACCATACAGCGCTGGAAGGTAGCAGGTGCATTGCATAGCCCAAATGGCATCCTCCGGTATGCGAATGTTCCAAACGGGCACGTGAAGGTAGTCTTCTCCTGGTCATCAGGTGCGATAGCAATCTGAAAATAACCTGAAAATCTATCCAAAAAACAATAATAAGCTCGACCTGCTAATCGCTCTACCATTTGATCAATGAAAGGAAGGGGAAAGTGATCCTTTTTCGTGACGGCGTTCAATTTCCTATAATCTATGCACTGCCGTCACCCAATGGGCTTCCGGACTGGTACGAGCTCACCCTCCTGATTAGACTCTACCGTCACTCCCGCCTTCTTTGGGACCACCTGTACTGGACTTACCCAGGGGTTATCTGATATAGCAAAAATTATCCCCACATCCAGTAGTTTTAGGATCTCTTTCTTCACTACCTCCATCATGAGAGGATTCAATCTCCTTTGAGCCTGCCGAATAGGTTTAGCGCCCTCCTCGAGTCGAATCCGATGTGTATATACCGCGGGGCTAATTCCCTTGATATCGGCGATAGTCCATCCTATCGTCTGCTTATGTTCTCTCAAAACTCGAATCAATTTGTCTTCTTGGACTTTTGATAAACTGGCGGAAATAATCACTAGGAGTGTCTCCCCTCACCTAAGTACGCATACTTTAGGTGTTTTGCCATCGGTTTCAACTCTAAAATAGGCGCCTGCACCACAGATCGAAGTAGCCTTTGGTGAGGTTCAGGTGTAAAAACGGGTGCGAGGTCATACCTTATCTTTGTGATTGGCAACGTCTGCAACGCTCCAATTACACATTTGAACTCTTCACTCAACTCTATCTCAGCGGTCATCTCTGACTCGAAGTGCCTGGTCAAGGCAACTTCCAGCTCATCCCTGCCTCCAATTTCAAAAACTTCACGTACAGCAGAATCAATAGCATTTATAGAGAAAACAGAGCCAGCATGTGATTCTGAAGGATATTTCATAGAGTCGAAAAAATTAAAATGAACAACCTCACCATCAAATTCCATAGATAGGGTGCCCTTATTAACATCTATTTTAGTTCGAGCTGTGCTCAAGAAGGGTCTACCTAACAGTAAAGGTGATGGGTCGTGAGAGTGTTCATCATCCATATTACGCACGTAAAAATCAGCAGGGAAAACCAATTCATTAATTTTCACTAAAACATCCTCAATCAACCCGTCAGGGTATGCATTGGTCCGGTCAGCCAGTTGGATTATTATTCCAGTGTCTTTCAGAGGTCCTAACTTCAACGAGGCATATATAGACTTGGGCATCACATTAATTGAGACTCCTAGATCTAACATAGCCTTTCCAATCAAGGTATTGCCTATTCTACAAGGAATAGTGAACATACCTGGGTCACCGCATTTCGGTGGAAGTTTTCGTTGCAGAATCGCTGACACATTTTCTCCCACTACCACTCTCTCATCTCCCTTCAATCGCCTTCGGTTGACACACAGGTCCCTTAAAAATTTTGCGTATCTGGGTACCTGCTTAATCGCATCTAGAAGAGGAATATTGATCTCCACTTTGCGAAAGATCTCTAGGACCTCTTTCTCCTTGTCCTACTTCCTTGGTTTCTCCAATCTGCTTGGGAAGGGAGGTGGGTTGGATCTAACTGGCATGAGTGGGTCCGGGATTACCCTTGAATTTTTATTATTACCGCCTTCCTCTTCCAACTCTTTTTCAATTCGATCTTCGTCCTTGTCCTTAGGAATCACCGGGTCAGGTCCTTGGACCTCCTTGCCACTTCTTAAGGTCATGGCGCTCACATTCTTCGGGTTTAATTCGGGTTGAGACGGCAATTTACCTTGGTTCTGGGAATCCAAACGGTTGATTGTTGTGGCCATTTGACTTATCTGATTCCTTATGTCCTGCATTTCGGAGTCCGTCCTTTGCTGATTTTGCGTGATGGTTGCCATCATTTGTTTCATCATCTCCTCCAAAGATGGACCAAATCTTGGGGACGGAGGTGGTCGGGGTTGGTATTGCTGCTGGTACCCCGGTTGCTTATTTGGCACGAAATTAGACTGCCTGTTCGGTGCAAAGTTGGGCTGCCTACTCCCTTCATAACTGAGATTGGGATGATCTCTCCATCCGGGATTGTAGGTGCTTGAGTAAGGGTCGTAATGCTTCCTTGGCACGGGCGCGTGGCCAGTCATGTTCACCTGTTCTGCAGTTTCTTCCTGAATCATTGGGCACATGTCTGCAGTGTGACCCATACCAGTGCAAATCCCGCACACCCTGGCCTGAGATGCATTCCCTACCACCAGTTGCCTAACAACTGAGGTCAACTCATTTAGCTGCTGCTGGATAGAGGATGTCTCTATCTCATTCACCTTGCGGATTGGGACATCCTCTCTCGTACCGAATTGTTGTGAATTTTCCGCCATCCCCTCTATCAACTCCCGAGATTCCCGAGGGGTTTTGTTCACTAGTGCCCCTCTACTTGCAGCATCAATTATGCTCCTATCTCTGAAGAGGAGCCCCTCATAAAAATACTGTATGAGTAACTGCTCACTTATCTGGTGTTGGGGGCACTTATTACACAACCTCTTGAATCGCTCCCAGTACTCATACAGCGATTCCCCTAGGTGCTGCTTGATCCCACATATTTCTTTCCTTAGACTTGCAGCCTTGGACGCAGGAAAATATTTTTCTAGAAATTTTTTCTGCAACTGATCCCACGTGGTAATGCTGCCTGGTGGCAGGTAGTACAGCCAGTCCTTCGCAGAGTCTTTCAATGAGAAAGGGAATGCCCTCATTTTTATTTGCTCTTCTGTGATTCCCGGGGGTTTTATACTATTGCATGCAACATCAAACTCCCGCAGATGCTTATACGGCTTCTCACCTGGTAAACCATGAAAAGAAGGTAAGAGTTGAATAAAGCCAGATTTTAATTCGAATGGAGTGTTGTTATCTAAATTTGGGAATGTGATGCACAAAGGCTGCTGATTTAAGTTAGGAGCAGTCAACTCCCTTAATGTTCGTGCATTAGCCATGGTTCCTCCATCCTGGTCAGAGTCACTTGAAGTGTCTCCAAACGAATCTGTCGGTTCAACTTCTGACTCAGGTCTCTGAGATGCAGCACTGGACTGCTCCTCTCTGAGCTGTCTGGTTTCCTTCCTCGTTCTACGCGCGATCTTCTCTACTTCAAGGCCAAAAATCAAATCACCTGTATGAGAAGATCGAGGCATACACTGGAAGAAACCCAGAGAATTAGGACAAAAAAATGAATTTAAAAGGAAACAAATAGTAACGCCAGTCCCCGGCAACGGCGCCAAAAATTGACAGGTGCCGAACCTGTGCAATAATAATAATAAAATCCAAACTACCACTAAAAACAGTCAATAATTAATCCTAGGTACTGGAGCAGGGACTCTAGGTGTGCAATAGGTTACTTGATTCACCCTGTTCCCGAAGAGTTTGCTTAACCCGATATACCAGAATTAATTAGTTGACGAAAATTACTGAATAGTAGACAGTGGCAAGTAGGGTCGTCTCCTCAGGGATTGGGGATATTTGTCTCTTTTTAAATGCCAATTGGTAAGGGGGGATTTCACCAGAATGAAACTAAAATCAATTGAATAATTCAACAGAAATAAATAAATAATTAACTAGCACAAATATAGCAGGAGTTAAATCAAGAATGAATAAATTCTAGCCAAGGATGCAACTATTCAGGCACAGTCCACTTATCCGATCATTGATGCAAGAGAGGTTCACTTAATTTATTAATAGACTAGTTATAGTTATCGATGAACTCTGATAACCAATTTTTCCTTAAATTATTGATAACCAAGGTACGACCATTGATCACCCCTAACCAGAAAATACTCTTAGGTACGACCATAGGAACTAATTTTCCAATTGCATTAATAACTAGAAAAACCTAACCCTAATCAATAACACGCTACGAGAGTTATTTAAATTAGATCGCACATTCCCCTAGTGTGTGAACACACCAGTTGCGACTAATATTAATCAATCAAACAATTACGGATTTAATTGACTAAATTGGCACGAGATTAATAAATCACATTGAATATCGGGCCCTTGACATCCAATTAATAAAATAATCCCATGAGAATACAAGCAGACAACGTGCAAATATTAATAAATTAAGGAACGCGTGAAAACTAATTAGATCTCACAGATTTTCGGGACTGCGCCGTCGAGTTGACCCTTGACTAGATGAAAGGTTTAGCCACGCCGCATAATTAAATCACCACACGAATTATTGGATTGCAAAGGCATTGCGATTTTTTACTAGAAAGCAATGAATAAATGGTGTTTTTCCCGTTGGGGAATTTTGTCGAACACCTGGCGTGTGTCAGAGGCCAGTCAAACGAAGGAAAAACTAAAACTAAACTAAAAGACTAAAAACTAGAGGTAAACTAAAGCCGCCCGTCTTCTGTACGTTTGTTCCCTATTTAAAGCCAAAAGAAAGATATCCAGTGATCCCCACCAATTGGCCACAAGCTGCCGCATTTCTTCTTAGTTTTCTTAGGCTTTGTACGTTGTCTGCTTTTGGCCAAATGACTAGTGGTCTTTATTCCATGGGCCCCCACCGAAATTGAGAAGATGAATTACCAATGCTAGGCACTGCTGAATTGACCCTTAGTAATATGCTCTAGAAAGTCCCTCCATTTGGTAATATTTCTGCTTCACTCCTGAAATTGATTCCAAATACCAAATATGAGTAAATACCAGCAATTAACACAATATTTGTCAGGGATAGAAGGGGAAATTAATAATAAAATTACTAACAAATTATACCCTATCAGTATTTTACTTTCAAACATTTAATTTAATACAAATATATATTCTAAAATACAGATTTGTATTTACTTTCAAATATTTAATTTTTGTTAAATACAAAAACTACCAATCTCTCTTCCGTAAAAATATTAATATAACACTTTTTTAATTTTAGTTACAAACATTTATATATTTAACATAAATTAAATGATTTAGAATAAAATGCTTATAAAGAGCCAATACTTTACTCATGTAATGAATGAAAGCCATAAAGAATTAATACTTTATGGGCCATTTCTTTTTTTAAAAAATATTTAATTTATATTAAATAAATAACCTACCGATTTCCTTTTTGCACAAATATTATTATAACACTTTTTGAATTTTACTTACAAACATTGATATATTTATTATAAATTAAATATTTGAAAGTACAATATCCGTAAAGAGTCGATACTTTAAATGAGTAAGGCGTGTTTGCCCATAAAGAGTCGGTAGCCATTTAAAGTACCAGTTCTTTACGGGTATTTTACTTTCAAATATTTAATTTAATACAAATATTTACGCTCAAATACAGATTTGTATTTACTTTCAAATATTTAATTTTTGTTAAATACAAAACCTATCAATCTCTCTTCCGTAAAAATATTAATATAACACTTTTTCAATTTTAGTTACAAACATTTATGTATTTAATATAAATTAAATGATTCAGAATAAAATACACATAAAGAGCGAATACTTTACTCATGTAATGGATGAAAGCCATAAAAAATTAATACTTTATGGGCCATTTTTTTAAAAAAAATATTTAATTTATATTAAATAAATAACCTACCGATTTCCTTTTTGCAAGAATATTACTGTAATACTTTTTGAATTTTACTTACAAATATTGATATATTTATCATAAATTAAATGTTTGAAAGTAAAATACTCGTAAAGAGCCGGTACTTTAAATGAGTAATGCGTGTTTGCCCATAAATTATACTCTTTAAAATTTATTAATTGTTAATTGATTTATAGTACTTTTTCATTCATTGGACATGTAGCACAAAGGGTAAATCTGGTTCAAAATTCTAATTTCACTTTCTAAAATAATATTTTAATCGTTTGGACTAAATTTGCAAAGGATTAGTAACCTCAGGGGAGGTTAGTGTAATTTTTCAAACCACAGGGGAGGTCAGTGCAAATGTTAGAAACCTCAAGGGAAGTTTCTTCAATTATCCCTTAAAACTATACAAGAATCGGTAACAATTCATTAAAAAGTATATAAACCAAGAATTTTTCAACAATAATATATCCAATTAATTCAATGTACATGGAAAATAGAAATAAAACATGATCAATAGTTAATATATCTTCAAAGGTCCTCAATTTGCTCATACTAAGATTTGTCCTTCTGAATCTTTTGACATAATTTTGTATATGTAATATTACGTGTGTATATATATATATTAATATATTTTGACAAATAACTCATAAGTATTAGTATTATATATTTAGATATATAATTATATATATCAAAATATGAATATTATATATATATGCATATTAAAGGATCGAGCCTATATCGGGTTTGACCCTAATAAGGGCCAAACTCTGCTCACATTTAATTTGGAGCTAATATTTAGATCCAATTTCAATCCAACTCAATGAAGGTTAGACTCATTAGACTTTTTCTCGGAGCCGAGTTCAAACTGACTCAACCCTATTGATAGTCCTAGAAGGATTGCCTCAGATTTTCATGCTATTCCGTTTCCCTCTCAAAATGAGTAAGAAAGGGATAAAACAATAATTACATATATAATACTAAGTTTGAGACCAAGTATACCAAAGGGAAGAAGTATATGAGACATTAGTGGCATGAATAAATGAAGTAAAAAATAAAAAAGTTTAATTAGAATTGCTAGTACCAATTTAAGACAATTGCGTTGTGATTCGCGTCTATTTTGTCCTAATACCCTCAATATCACTATGTGAAAACTTAAGCAACTAAAATGATTAAAATTTCAATCCAAAAGTACAAAGTCAAAATTGTTAAATAACAATAATTAAATTTTGACTATTAGTCATTGTTGAGTTTTCGTCATTGTAGAATGTACCTACTACCAAAAACTTTGAGAACCAAATTTATTTTGATCGGAACATTAAAGACTAATTTAGCGCTTAATCTAAAAATTGGAGACTAAAACTACAATTCTCCCTTTTTCCAAAAGAAAAATCTACACCTTTTTTTGGTTTTATTTTTGTGCACACATGTGATTTTTTTCACCTTTGATATCACATAATGGTCCAAACCGACTGACATCGGTTAATAGATTCAATTGTTAAAATGACTTTGTAAATTGTGAGGTGGTAATATGTAGAAAAATCCTGTTTGGTAGAATTTGGGTAAAAGGAGAGTGCATTTGATAAAATTGAAGTTTGAAAATTGAAGTTTGAAGTCTGAATTCCATTAAATTAAGTTGTTGAATTGTTAAGTATTAACCCCTATTTGATAACTCAATTTAACACTTAAAGTTAATGGATTTAGATATTAACATGTTCAAATGCATTTGATAACCAAAAAATTGTACATCTGAATTAATTAAATGACACTGAATTTTCTAGGCAAAAATGGCTTCAAAAAATAAAATGACACTAAATTTTCCAGGTAAAACTTGCTCCAAAAAATAGGTGATAAGTTATTCATTTATCATTTAATGTGATATACATTCAAATATATTACATTTAGTACTTAACAATTCAATAAATTAATGGATTCAGACTTTAAATTTAATATTTTATTTTGATATACACTCAAATGTGTCACATTTAGTACTTAGCAATTTAATAGCTTACCCGATTCAGACTTCAAATTTAATAT